TCCCTTCCCCTCCCCACAACAGACACCCTGTGAGGTGGGTGGGGCTGAGAGAACTCTGACACAAACTGCTCTTTTTCAAGGACAGCTGTGCCAGAGCTTGTGACTGACCCAAGGTCACATCAGCAGGTGCAAGTGGAGGAGTGGGGAATCAAACACGGTTCTCCCAGATTAGAGTCCGCACACTTAACCACTACACCAAACTGGCTAACACTGGCTGACTAACACAGCTAATCCCTGAAATGTGCTTTGCGGTGGATGGAATTCCACAAAGGGGACACCACCAGTGTTCCCTCTAAGCTGAGTTAGTGTGAGCTAGCTCACAGATTTTTTCAGCCTCCGGTTCACACATTAGCTCAGGGAGGATGGCTCCAGAGCAAACTGATTGATGCAGCAGCCAAATTGCTTGCTCACAACTTTAATGCCAGCAGCTCACAAAGTAGGATTTTTGCTCACAAGACTCCACAGCTTAGAGGGGGGGCATTGGACACCACCTCTGAAAAAGCCTGATCCCCAGGAAACACATACTACTGGGGAAAAAAGCAAGAGTCCAGGAGCACCTTAAAAACTAGCAAAATTTGTGGAAGGGTGAGCCGTGACTCGCGAAAGCTCCTCCCCTGCCACAAATGTTCTTAGTCTTTCAGGTGCTCCTGGACTCTGGCTCTTTTCTGCTGCTACAGGCAGACTAACGCCGCTGCCCGTCTCGATCTATTTGCTGGCTGAAATGTCACTCTTTTAAGCAGCTTATAAAAAGCAGAGGGGATTGTCTGTATACTGAGGACGTCAACACTGATTGGCTTTCTAACGGTTCTCCTAACCCCAGTTACATTCAACATTGGTCTCCAACTGGTGGGGGTGGGTCCTAAGTGGCTTGTGATCTGACCTAAGATGGGTTACACCAGCAGCACCGGAAGACAACCAACGGTCAGAAGGCTGGACCAGGATCCAGGAGGCCCAGGCTGGACGCCGCACTCTGCCCTGGAAGCTAACCGGATGACCTTGGGCCACTCACACACTCCCAGCCAGCCCTGCCTTGCAAGGCTGTTGGGAGGATAAAAGGAGATGGGGAAACCGGGCACATCTTTCTGAGTTCCCTGTCGGAAGGACGGTCCAGAAATGCACTTACTAAGTAGGTAACACCAATTTTTCTCTTTCTTATTTAGGATACTGAGGACGTCAACACTGATTGGCTTTCTAACGGTTCTCCTAACCCCAGTTACATTCAACATTGGTCTCCAACTGGTGGGGGTGGGTCCTAAGTGGCTTGTGATCTGACCTAAGATGGGTTACACCAGCAGCACCGGAAGACAACCAACGGTCAGAAGGCTGGACCAGGATCCAGGAGGCCCAGGCTGGATGCCGCACTCTGCCCTGGAAGCTAACCGGATGACCTTGGGCCACTCACACACTCCCAGCCAGCCCTGCCTTGCAAGGCTGTTGGGAGGATAAAAGGAGATGGGGAAACCGGGCACATCTTTCTGAGTTCCCTGTCGGAAGGACGGTCCAGAAATGCACTTACTAAGTAGGTAACCCCAATTTTTCTCTTTCTTATTTAGAAGTTATCCCTATGAGAAGAAAGTTAGGAGAGGAGAGAGGATGGGATGGGATAGAGAGATGGAGGAAGAAGATCTAGAAGGGAACACAACTGCAGGCAGTAAAGCCGTTAAAACAGGATCCCATGTGCCAAGTTAATGGTAATGATAGGTCTGAAAAAGTTGATCGCTACTGCTACACACGACTTACACACACACACCAGGCGGGCCATTGCTACAGAGCCCCACCGCAGCCTCGAAGCCCCACCTACCTTGGCGATCTGCACACACCAGTTCAGAAGGTCCTGGGACCCAATGCGCTCCTTGTTCTCCCTGACGTAGTCCAGCAGGCAACCGTACGGCATCAGCTGCGTGACCAGCTGGACTGTGGAAGTGAGGCAGATGCCCAGCAGCCGCGAGACGTACGGGCTGCCCACACCTGCCATGACGTATGCTTCCTGGAGGAGACGAGAAAGGGAAGGCGTCAGGCTAGTAACTAGGATTTTCTGGTTTGTGGGGCAATTTTTTTTTCCGGTGGGGCTGAAGTTCTCAGTGCAGAAAGAAAAACCATTCAGCTGATAGAAAGCTGTAACTGGGATAAATCTCTAAATTGCAAGCTGTCAACCACTTGAGATGACAGTTCTCAGCTGCTGCAAGTTAATCACTTCTGCCAGCCTAAGCAAGAATTCTGAGAACAAGTCGGCAGGTGGGGGTGAGGACTTCTATAGTCAAGAAAGCTGACACTTAAGCAGAAAAACCCTCTTAAAGGAGACCAGTTTCTGGACACAGAGTTAGAAGGGATCCTAGAGGTCACCTACTCCAACCCCCTTGCTCAGTGCGGAAATTAGTCAACGACAGCCCCCCACTCTGCTTAAAGGAGTGCACACCTTTAAGAAATGTTTTTAAATTATTGAAAATTACTGAAAAAAGCAACTACGTGAAAAATTCTTGTGGGACTGTGCCTTTAAGAAAGGGGGCAGAGTCCCAAAGCTCCGCTGTAGTTATGGCCTGGAAGGTGTTAAGCAGAGGTCTTCTTTTGGGAACAGAACTGGCTGAGGCCCAATAAAACTCACAGGGGCTACTCAACATGCAGGGGAGTTTGGCCCTCAGAAGGAGTTGTTTGATGAACTGTAGTCTGCTGCCCCCTGCTGGAAGAAGGGCACCCCTACAGCAGGCCATCAAGTCACAGCCAAACATTAGCCAGAGCCAGAAATTTTGAAACTCGGAAAAAAACGGAAATTTTCAGAAAAATTGAAAAAAATGCTACATTAGCGCTTCTTTTTTCTTTTCCAGATTGAAAGTCCTTCTGTTACTTTAGGAACATAAAATATGACTATGGACATTTTTACTTGGCATGAAATGATCACAACTAGCGTATTAAAAATATAGTGTATCCAAACAATTATTACGAACAGAATACCCACTCACATGCAAAAACAAAACTGAACCCTTTTTCTTTTCTTGTGACAACAGCACCTCCTAAAGGAAGAAATGCATCTTGTTCTTGCATTGGAGAGTTCAGTTTCTAACCTAGGACTTGCTTGTCCTCAGTGCACAGAAATTAGATCAATCTGATACCGTACATATTTTTTAGAAATGATTTGGAAAATATTTGAACACCTTGTCTTAAAATATTTTATTCATCATGTTAAAATAAAATGTTCCATAATCAGTTTTTGTTTCTTTTTTCAATTTTTCCAATTTTTCGGGAAAAAACGGTTTCCCCCCCTAATTTTTCCGGTTTTTTTCCAGGCCTTCACATCTCTATCCAGGGCAGACCCTGCTTAGTTTCTGAGATCTGATGAGATTGTGCCAGCCAGGGCCAGCCAGCTCAGGGCCAAGCCTCTCTTACTCACGTCCAAAATCTCCTTGTTGGCTTTGGGTGACGTATTTTCCCGCAGGACTTTAATGGCTACTGGGATCTTCACGCTCTCACCATCTGGGATCCAAACGCCCTGAAGAGAGGACAAGGAAGCAAGGCGAGTAAATTCAGCATTTACTTGGATGATGATCGCAGGGGGGGGCGCCCACCACGAGACTCTGGCCTACTGTATGGTTAGTTTCTCAATGGGGGCCATTAAACGGGGTGGGGGGGGTCACAACATGATGTGCAGGGCCAGACAGAGCTAAACAATCAGCTGGGGGGGGGAGTACATCAAGGAGATACCAGTTCTCATGGCAAGATGCCGCAGCAATGTGGTCGGGGCATTCTCAGGGTCTTCTCCGTGTTTTGCCCCAAGATTCCAATCTATTTTTGAATCCAGGGGCTCTTTTAAGACCAACAAAGTTCCGTTCTGGGTATAAGATATCTCAAGAAGCGTGCGTGCACACGGAAGCTTATGCCCAGAATTAAACTCGTTCGTCTTAAAGTTGCCCCTGAGACGAGGACTCAGGCTATGAACTGTTAGAGGCACTACATATCTCTGAAGAGGCTGATGAAAACCGACGCAACCCGAAACGCCGTTTGCAGTCCCCGGGTCCCCCCGAAAAGAACACTACATTGTCTATCAGAGACTCTGTGTCTCCAATGGCTACCGATCGTGTTAGTTCTACATAAGCACATTAACTGTTGCTGAAAGGAAAAGGTTTGGATTTTTTCTATACTGTTTGAATCAATATGTTGAATGACTGTTTTGCCGTTTAAACTGTTTGAACTGTATGTTCCTAATCATTGCACATAGTTAAGGGGGGGAGATTTGTGGATTGCTCCCTAGTTAAGTGACTACTTTTGGATCTCACCTAGTAAGATAGGTGGGTGTCTTTTCCAAAGTAGGTCCTCAGTTTTTTAATTTAGTATTTTTAATCTTACAGTATATAGTCTTTCCGTTCTGCCTGGATTTTGCAGCTGTTTACATTTTTTTTTTGCCCTTTATTAAAATTTACCAAGGAGAATTATCATTTAAAGGTAATATATTATAATAAGTTGTAATACAGGAAGACTTGTTACTACTATTTTGCATATGTTCAATTTAGCTTTTGGTATCTATTAACAATATTAAGCCGTATAGGAGGTATTTTTCATACCTAAAGTATTGTATGCATATACCATAACATTTTCACAGTTCAGCTTTAATATTAAAATACAAATCTAGCACTAGAATCAAGGTTATAAAATTGAAACTTCATATCTACTTTGGCATACAGATATTCTATAATAGCTATGAAACGGTAAAATAAAGTTAAGTAAAACTCAGTCCCTTAGCACTGCTTTTTATATCCATTAACAATGACAGACAATATAACGAGCAATTTTTCCTTGCTTAATATATTATGTGCATGTATCTTAATGTTTTCATAGCCCTGCTTTGGCATTGAAATACAGTTCTGGCGTAGTGACCAAGATTTTAAAGACAAATCTTCATGTTTACATGTTTGCATGTTGACATTGTTCAGTGATTTGGCTCTGATTGCTTCAACACTTTAAACATATTTGATATTTGCCACCCCTCCTCCTTTTTCTTTGAATCTTTGGAGTTTGTTGTACTGCTTTCTGAGAGGGAGAGGAGGGCTGTAAGGTTATTTGATTAGCTGACATCTTTTAATAAATAGTAAAGGTAAAGGTTCCCTTGCTCGAAAGCCAGTCGAATCCGACTCTAGGGTTGCGGTGCTCATCTCCGTTTCCAAGCCAAAGAGCCAGCGCTGTCCAAAGACATTTCTGTGGTCATGTGGCCGGCATGACTAAACACCAAGGCACACGGAACGCTGTTCCCTTCCCACCGAAGTGGTACCTATTTATCTAATTGCAATTTCTTGCTTTCGAACTGCTGAACTACTGACCTTCCACAGCCTGCAGTTCAGCGTCTTAACTACTTGAGCCACCGCAGCTCCTAACAAATAGTACACATTAAAATAAAATTAAAAAGCCCCCCTGGCCTCAGACTTCGTTCTATGTACCAAGTTAATGTTGAGCCATAAGTTATCTGGGAAACTTTCCCAGGTCTCCGCCAGTTGGCCCCTTTATAAAAGAAGAAGAGACTGGATTTATACCCCGCCCTTCACTACCCAAGGGAGTCTCAGAGCGGCTTACAAACTCCATTCCCTTCCCCTCCCCACAACAGACACCCTGTGAGGCGGGTGGGGCTGAGAGAGCTCTTGACAGAAACTGCTCTTTTCCAAGGACAGCTCTTATCAGAACTACGGCTTGCCCAAGGTCATCCAGCCAGGTGCGAGTGGAGGAGTGGGGAATCCAACCCAGTTCTCCCAGATCAGAGTCCGCGCACTTAACCACTACGCCAAACCCTTGTAGCTGGGCAACTTCCCCTCTGCTCACCTTGTACACTGTCCCAAAGGCGCCGGACCCCAAAACCTTGACTTTCTTCAACTCTGTCTCCTTGAGGATGCGCATCTGAGCCTGGTTAGGCAGAGCTCCGCTGGGAGTCAAGGGCTCCACCAGCTGCCGATCGTGGGCAGAGAGGAGAAGATACCGGAAAAGACAGAAACAGAGAGGTGCTTTCCCTGGTTTCGGCCAACGACAGTGAGTCATCCAAAGGGCAGACCCGCGGGATACGAGACGGGAGACCGTTAAGACAAAAATACTGAAACAGACAACTAAAGAGGGAGGGAACGCCAGTTCAAAGCCGGGGGCTACCAGAAAGGTTTTCGCCTGGTGCCTCAAGGCCGGCAAGGCCGCCCCCAGGCAGGCCTCAAGGGGGAGGGGGGAGAAAAGCCCCTTTCAGTTGCTGCCCACTTCACCGATGCAGGATCCGGAAGAACTCTGGGGTGCTCAATTAAACGAATTCTTCACCCAAAGAGTAATGAACACAAGGAATTCACTGCCGCAGGAAGTGGTGGTGGCTACAAGCATGTTGTTGTTGTTCAGTCACACAGTCGAGTCCGACTCTTCGCGACCTCATGGACCAGATCACGCCAGGCCTTCCGGTCATCTGCCACAGAGGGAGGGCTTCTGGAGTTCTGGCCCCGCTGGTGGACCTCCTGATGGCCCATGAGTTTCGGCCGCTGTGTGACGCAGTGTGTTGAACTGGGTGGGCCACTGGCCTGATTCAACATAGCTTCTCTTATGTTCTTATGTCTGGGGCAAGTGATGCTCTGTCTTCTTGGTGCTTGGGGGGCAACAGTGGGAGGGCTTCTGGAGTTCTGGCCCCGCTGGTGGACCTCCTGATGGCCCATGAGTTTCGGCTGCTGTTTGACGCAGTGTGTTGGACTGGGTGGGCCACTGGCCTAATCCAACATGGCTTCTCTTATGTTCTTATGAGGGAGCAAGGCCAGTGATGAGAAAGAAGAAGTTTTTTTGGGATCCTACTAGTAAAGGTAAAGGTTCCCTTGCTCAAAAGCCAGTCCAGTCCGACTCTAGGGTTGCGGTGCTCATCTCTGTTTCAAAGCCGAAGAGCCAGCGCTGTCCGAAGACGTTTCCGTGGTCATGTGGCCGGCATGACTAAACACCAAGGCACACGGAATACTGTTACCTTCCCACCAAAGTGGTACCTATTTATCTACTTGCAATTTCTTGCTTTCGAACTGCTAGGTTGGCAGGAGCTGGAAGCTCACTCCGTCATGCGGCAACTCGGGTCTCGAACTGCTGAAATACCGACCTTCCACAGCCTGCAGTTCAGCGTCTTAACCACTTGAGCCACCGCAGCTCCTCTACCAAGCTGCTAAACCTTTCGGGGTGGCATTCATTCACATGAGCCGTTCAGTACCCCTGCAAGGGTTATTCAGGAGGGGACGTCTTTGGGAATGCTTTCTGTACATAAGGACTGCCTTGTAGGATCAGACCCCGGTCCATCTATCCCAGTATCTGTGTTTCCAAAGAAGCAGCCGACAGGATGCTCACAAGTAGGGCACGAAGGCAACAGCCTTCCCCGGTTACTTGCAACAGCTTCTATCCAGAGGTATACTGCTCCGGAACATGGAAGCTCCGTGACTCAATGGACCCGCACAGGCACACATTCCTCACCACTGCTAAAATCCAGACCCTTAAGCATGAATCTGCCCAACAATCCAAGGGCTGGATCCAGCCAGTTTTTTCACACAATCTCGCCCAATACCCCTCTTTATGACAGCCCACATCCCGCGTGGCTCTTGGTTCACGCAGGTCCCGGGATTCCCAGCACGGGCCTTCTGGATGCTCAAACGGGACACCCCCCCTCCTTCCTGTCCCAGCAGCCAAAAATCTGGCTGTGCCCAAGCTGGCAGCAGGAAGCCAGGCCACGCGGAAACACCCCTACCTCCGTCTCCTGGAGGAGGCGCCGCATCGTGTGCTTCCGCTCCTGCTGCTTCCGCCGGTTGATGCAGATGATGATGAGGAACAAGAGGACCAGGACGAGTGCCGCGCCCACCACACCAGCGATGATGGACGTGGCCTGGCTGGAGAGAGGGAGAGGGAGGCGGAGAGAGCCGTCAGGCCAAGACAACCACGACTGCTTCAGGAAGGCCCAACAGAGCCGCTTCCAGGTTTTAGGGGGCCCTGGGTAGAGAGGGCCCAGGGGCAGTGTTCCCTCTAAGCTGAGTGAATGCGAGCTAGCTCACAATTTTTTGGCCTCCGGCTAACACAATTTCGTCTTCGCTCTGAAAGGATGTCTCCAAAGCAAACTGCTTGATGCAGTAGCCAAATCGCTCCCTCGCAACTTTATTTATTATTTATTATATTATTCTTTGGATCTGTATCCCGCCCTCCCCAAAGGCTCAGGGCGGCTAACAAGGACAAATGCCAGATTGTAACCATAAAAACAATATAAATACAATAAATACAGAATACCACAGTTGATTAAAATTAATAAAAAATAAAATGTCGGTGCTCCAATACTCACTCCGAATCATAAAACCAAAGTGGTGTTCTGAAGGTGTTACAGCTGAACCACAACAGCAATATAGGTCCCCACAACCCTGTCGTCCACTAGGGACGTCCCGCACCCCCGATGACACCCGTACCAGCGGTGGTAGAGTGCGGTGATGGAAAGGCGTTGATGGAATAATGGTGGCGGCGGCTCCTACTTGAAAGCCTGGTGGAAGAGCTCCGTTTTACAGGCCCTGTAGAACTGTACAAGGTCCCGCAGGGCCCGGATCTCTTCTGGGAGCTCATTCCACCAGGTAGGAGCCGCCACCGAAAACGCCCTGGTCCTGGTCGCAGCAAGTTTGATGGTCTTGGGGCCTGGAACATCCAGGAGATTTTGGCTCCCCGACCGTAGTGCCCTTGGGGGAACATGCGGGGAAAGGCGGTCCCTTAGGTAGGTCGGACCCTGGCCATATAGGGCTTTAAAGGTAAGAACCAGCACTTTGAAGCGAATCCGGTACGCCATTGGCAGCCAGTGTAGCGCTTTCAGCACAGGCCGGATGTGATCCCGTCTAGGGAGACCCATCAACAGCCTGGCTGCAGCATTCTGCACTAGCTGCAGCTTCCGAATTTGCGACAGAGGCAGCCCCATGTAGAGAGCGTTACAGTAGTAATGCCGGTAGCTCACAAAGTAGAACTCTTGCTCACAAGACTCCACAGCTTAGAGGGAGCATTGCCCAGGGGGGGCCCAGGCCCCTTAGCAGACCCCGACCTGTTACCGTTCCGCAGGGCCTGTGAAACGGAGTTGTTCCGCCAGGCCTTTCGGTGAGGCTGTGGCATCTATCTTAGCTGGCCTCCCTGCACTAGTTCCGAAATCGTTGAAAGGGCCCATTCAATCCCACCTTGTGGTCCTAACAGATTTACATGAAACTGTTGTTACCTGCGTGACATTTATTATCGTTTTGGTGTAGTGGTTAAGTGCGCGGACTCTAATCTGGGGTTGAGGATGGCCCAGGAAGATCTGCCACAATTTCTGCGTGGCCACTGGATTTACCTGGTTGAGCTATAGGATAAAATCACCCACGGAGAACCATCCGGAGACCAGCTTGTTAAATTGAGTATAATTTTTATTAATTGTTATTAATGTTTTATTGCTTTTATCTGTTTTATATGGGCTTTGCCCCTTGTAAGCCGCCCTGAGCCCGCTCTGCGGGGAGGGCGGGGTATAAATCTTAATAAATAAATAAATAAATACATTCTCAAACAGCCCATCAGAGGAAGACCCACAGTTTGGGCGACGGCTGAGCGGCTCCGGTTTATTGTGGCTACCGTATTAAACCGCTGTGCCGTCTGTTTTGTTTATAGCTTGGTTTAAAACTCTTTTAACCATTCACAATGGATGATTTTTAGGAAGTGTCTTAATTCTTACTGTGAAATGCTTTAACTTCTGTTGTCATCCACTCTGAGCCCATGCGCAGGGAGAAGGAGGAGAAGAAGAGATTGGGTTTATACCCTGCCCTTCACTACCCAAAGGAGTCTCAGAGCGGCTTACAAAATCCTTCCCCTTCCCCTCCCCACAACAGACACCCTGTGAGGCAGGTAGGGCTGAGAGAGCTCTGACAGAAACTGATCTTTTTCAAGGACAGCTCTGGCAAAACCATGGCTTGCCCAAGGTCATCCAGCAGCTGCGAGTGGAGGAGTGGGGAATCAAACCTGGTTCTCCCAGATTAGAGTCCGCGCACCTAACCACTACACCAAACTAGCGGAATATAAGCCGAAATAAACAAATAAATACATTTTCTTGCCCGCCCACCCACCTGAACATCTTCACTTGCTTGCACACTGTTCTCCTGCCCACTTGCAAGCAACGTTCCCTCTAAGCTGTGTTAGTGTGAGCTAGCTCACAGTTTTTTAGCCTCCGGCTCACACATTTTTGTCTTCGCTCAGGAAGGAGGGCTCCAGAGCAAACTGATTTATGCAGCAGCCAAATCACTCGCTCACCACTTTAATGCCGGTAGCTCACAAAGTTGAATTTTTGCTCACAAGACTCCACCGCTTAGAGGGAGCACTGCTGGCAAGCCCTCTCACCACCTGCATGCCGCCCACACTTCTTCTGAACAGTGCGTGTTCTTTTCTTAACAATATTTTCTCCTCTGTTATCTTAAGACAGCATTTTCTTCATGAGGAATTTCAAGCTACTATCTTCATACTCCTTCACTTTTTATCGACACTTTCCGGAATTGTGTTCCGTTCCGTTGCAGACACTTCTTCTGAACAGTGTGTGTTCTTTTCTTAACAATATTTTCTCATCCGTTATCTTAAGACAGCATTTTCTTCATGAGGAATTTCAAACGACTATCAAGGTATTTGGCTCAATACATCTCTCCCGAGCAGACAACTTGTAATTTTTTTCACATAGAGTAAGTAAAAGGTCAAGGTTCCCTTGCTCGAAAGCCAGTCGAGTCAGACTCTAGGGTTGCAGTGCTCATCTCCGTTTCCAATCCGAAGAGCCAGCGCTGTCCGAAGACGTTTCCATGGTCATGTGGCCGGCATGACTAAACACTAAGGCGCACGGAACGCTGTTCCCTTCCCACCGAAGTGGTACCTATTTATGTACTTGCAATTTTTTGCTTTCGAACTGCTAGGTTGGCAGTACCCCTTATCATTTCTTTAGCGCGATTCTTCCAGCTTCCTCTGGCCCCTTCCCCAAGCACAGTCTGCTCCCCCGGCCCCCCCTTCCCAGTGGCCGGTCAGTTTCCCTGGCATGACTCCGGCACGCTCTCTCCAGCTGCGTGGCAAAGGCAGCGTGATCCAATTGGCCAGCGTGAGTTTTTTAAAAACAATGTTTATTTTTGTGATAAACGTCAGTGCCCCCCGACGTATTTAAAAGACCCCCGAATTAAAAAACCCTGGCTATGTGCCTGCTGTAATAGTTTCTCCACAACACTCAGAAAGCAAAAAGGCTGCTTTGTTCTGAGAATCACTCAACGGCCGCCTTCCGACAACCCAGCTCCTTCTCCACTTCAGGGCACACGTCTGCGAACACACCCTCTCCGGCTGCAGTAAGGGGCAGGTGGGAAAGGAACCCATCAACAACTTCCAATGAGGGCTTGAGTGCCCCCTGAAGCTGATTTTTAATCACCCCACGCTGAATCCTCCCAAGGTTGCGACCAGGGATGGTTTCTGCAGACTTTAAGGCACACAAAGGGATCCCCAGCCCTTAACAACAGTCCTGAAGACTTCTCTCTGCAGACACCAGGACTAGAAACTCTTAAATCTTTAAAATTGAAATCTGTTTTTCCCCCCATTGGTTTCCCTGACAAAGAACACAGTCCTGGAGAGCAGCATAGCTTTTGTCCACACTCTGTACCTTCCAAAATCCCAACGCTCCCAAATGTTACCCTCTCTACAACATGCTATATATTTCAAATAGAAATGCAGCCACTCAGGGTTGACATTCCCATGCACCTGAGGAAGTGAGCTCTGACTCAAAAAAGCCTGCGACAGAATGCATTTTGTTAGGTCCCGCTGGGCCCCTCTTTCGTTTTGTTCCTCTATATTTATTTATTTATTTATTTATTCATTCATTCATTCATTCTTTAGATTTATATCCCGCTCTCCCCGAAGGCTCAGGGCGGCTAACAAAGGCATACATGCCAAATTTATAACAATAAAACAGTATAAAAATACAATAATACGGCCTCATACAGTTATTAAAATAGTATACAATAATAAAAATCGGTGCTCCGATACTCACTCCAAGTCATAAAACCAAGATGGTGTTCTGAAGATGTTATAACAGAATAACCACAGTACATGTCCCCCCCAAACCCTGTCATCTGCCAGGGACGTCTCGCACCCTCCAGGTGATACCCGCACCAGCGGTGGTAAAGTGCAGTAATGAAGAAAGGTTGATGGCTCCTACACTCAAAAGCCTGGCGGAAGAGCTCCGTCTTGCAGGCCCTGTGGAACTGCACAAGGTCCCGCAGGGCCCAGATCTCTTCTGGGAGCTCATTCCACCAGGCAGGAGGCACCACCGAAAACGCCCTGGCCCTGGTCACAGCAAGTTTGATGCTCTTGGGGCCTGGAATATCCAGGAGGTTTTGGCTCCCCGGCCCTAGTGCCCTTGGGGGAACATGCGGGGAATGCAGCTCAGTACCTTGGCTTCTGGTCCAGCGGGCAGCCAAGTCCATCCCGTAGCGTGCACCTGGAAAGAGACACACCTGGTTTGCTGTGCCACCATTCGATGCGCTGCAACCCTAAGCATCCTGTTGAGCTTTGCATACAACCCACAGTTATACGGAATGTCTGTGGGCCAATTTTTAGAGGAAGAAACACAGAAGCCATAGAGCTGGAAGAGACCCCACAAGTCATCTAGTCCAACCCCCTGCACAACGCAGGAAATTCACAGCTACCCACCCCCACACTCCCCCAGGGACACCCCCCTGCTCCATGCCCAGAGTAGGAAACTCCTTGGGTGAATCCTGGCACCGTGAGAGACTCCTGCTTCCCAGCTTTTTCAGCTAACTAACAGTCTCTAAGCCTTATCCTGCGTGCAGGAGGCCGCCTAATTGGCCAGTACTGTGGGGGGGGGGGGTGCATACGAATACCCTATATCCTATGAGGCTCTATGGGTTGCCGCCATTCTTAACAGGGCCTGTGTTACTGCACCTATAGCTTTGCAACAAAAGTATAACCGTTCCTGAATGCGTGAACTTCGTTGTGAGCTGTGGGTTCTGACAGGTATCTTTTATTGAACTGCACATCTTCTTCTGTTTGTTGTTCTGGCATTTATACTTGTTATGGTCCCTGCCGCACGGCAGGAAAAAAACCGGGCAAAGTGCGGCTTTTAAAAGCCGCACCAAAATAGAGACGCTGCGGCGGGATTAACAGGGCCTGTGTTACTGCACCTATAGCTTTGCAACAAAAGTATAACCGTTCCTGAATGCGTGAACTTCGTTGTGAGCTGTGGGTTCTGACAGGTATCTTTTATTGAACTGCACATCTTCTTCTTTTGTTTGTCCGGGCATTATTACTTGTTATGGTCCCTGCCGCACCAAAATAGAGACGCTGCGGTGGGATCCCACGGATCCCCTGAGCTGCAGCGCCGTTGCTCCCCAGCACGATCAGATGCCGGGGAGGAAGCGACAGTTGGGAGGGGGAGGCTGCCGAACTGCGCATGTCTGAGCATGCGCAGTTCGGCCAGGAGCCGGGGATGAGCCGGCGGAAGGACGCGCCGGCGATCCCACGGCCGGCCTTGATGCGCCCTTTCCCAAAGAACCACCTAGGTAGGTGGTTTATTTTTGATGTGGGGTTTTGGGTGGAAGGGCCGGATCGGGAACGCCACGCTTCCCAGTTGTTGCTGTGGGATCGCGCCCGTTTGCTGCGCCCCCGATCCGTCCCTCTCCTGGCCCAAAACCTCTCGTGTGACCGGGGCCTATATTTTTCTTTATTATAAACATGGAAAATGTACTGCTCATAACTCCATCACAACGTTACCCAGATGTAGGCTTGCTACCATTCATAATTTCAAGAACCTGTCCTTTATTTAGGATTAAAATGCAGTGTTCCTTTCCAAGTTTACATTCTGATAAAAGAACCATTCTGACCCTCATTTTCATACGGTCCCACAGTGTGAGCTAGTCATCTGGCAACCCTGCTCTAATGTTACAGTGCAAGCCGTGCCTATATTACTTTGAGTTTATAAAATCCACAAAGGGCTTTTCTGCATTTTCCTCATTTGTAAGTTCCTGTTTCTTTGGGGGGGGGGTTTCCCCCACAGGTGTTTTGCCCCCTCTAGTGGCCAAATCGTCTATGCTGCTGTGCTTAGCTTATTGTAAGAAGGATCCCATTTAGAAGAAGAAGAGATTGGATTTACACCTTGCCCTTCGCTTGGAGTCTCAGAGCGGCTTACAAACTCCTTTCCCTCCCCCTCCCCACAACAGGCACCCTGTGAGGCAGGTGGGGCTGAGAGAGCTCTGACAGAAACTGCCCTTGAGAGAACAGCTCTGACAGAACTATGGCTTGCCCAAGGTCATCCAGCAGCTGCAAGTGGAGGAGCGGGGAACCAAACCCAGCTCTCCCAGATTAGAGTCCGCGCACTTAACCACTACACCAAACTGGCTCTCCAGTAATTTAGGTAATTACTGGCCCTGTCCACATGAGAGGATTAGGGCCGGGAGCGGGACGGAACGGACGGAACGGGGACGGCGCAAACGGGCGCGATCCCACCACAACATCTGGGAAGCGTACCGTGTCCGTCCCCGATCCGGCCCTTCCAGCAATGATCCGCACCAAAAAAGAACCACTTACCGAGGTGGTTCTTTTCGAACGGCCGCAGTAACGCTGTCCATGGGATCGCCGGCACGATCTTTCGCCGGCGCATCCCCGGCTCCTTGCCGAACTGCGCATGCTCCGACATGCTCAGTTCAGCAGACTCCCGTGCCTTTCTCCCCGTCTCCCCGGCATCTGATCGTGCCGGGGAGCAAATGCACAGCGGCTCAGGGGCTCTGTATGATCCTGCCGCCGCGTGCCTATTTAGGTGCAGCTTTTTAAAAGCCGCACTTTGGCCGTCCCTTCTTCCCTCGTGTGGCGGGGGCCTCTGTACGGCTTAATGTGTCATGTGAACACTTCTGCTGCGTTTCAATTCATTCTGGTGGTTCCAGACGTCTAAAACCCTCACGCATCGGCTAGTGAATGTCCCATATCTTCGTGCTTGTCCTGCCTCGCTCTGTGTAGTCTGCCTTGGGTCCCTGAGAGAAAGGAGGGCTGTACATAATGTAAATAAACAGATAAATAAGTAGCCCATGCTGCCAACACCAGCAGCTCCTTCCCTCCCCTGCCCGTCTCCCCGGCCGACTCACGAGTGGGTGCAGTTGGTTGGGCAGAACTGACAGACGCCCTCCTCGTCGGGATACTTCCATATGGGCACAAAAGAGGCGTCGACCTTCACGCCGCTGGGGCACCGCTCCACGCAGGAGAGGCCGTCTCTATAATGGGCACATGCCACGCACTGCTCTGCCTCCTGGGAAAGAAGGAAGGAAGGAAGTCTCTTGGCTAGATCCAGACTACGTGTTCCACGGGTGGAAAGCGTGCTGCTGGAACAGAACCTCTCCTCCCCCCCCCCCCCCCCCCAGCAGCCAACCGACCTTTCTGAAATGCTGCTTCTGAGGACAGGGGAACCTCGGGAATGGCACAAGGGGCTCAGGGATGCCAGCCTCCTGGTGGGACCTGGGGATCCCTCGGAATTACAACTCCAGACTACAGAGATCAGTGTCCCCTGGAGGAAAGGGATGCTTTGGAGGGTGGAGCTGTGGCATGCAAAGCACACAAAAGCTCACACCGTGAATAAAACGTTGTTGGTCTTAAAGGTGCCACTGGACTCTAAATTTGTTCCACTGCTTCAGACGGTTGACCATCAGAATGTCTCGATTCATAACTGGTTTTGGAGACGTCACCTTACAGAACAGCCGATTTCCAAACCGTGTTGAGGGAAAGGGACCCTGCAATCCCCCAAAGAATCGTAAGCATTCCTTTACAAAAAGTCACCTCTCCCAGGGGAAATGTTGGGGTTTGTTGAAGAAGAAGAAGAGGAGGGGGAGGAGATTGGATTTATATCCCGCCCTTCACTACCCAAAGGAGTCTCAGAGCGGCTTACAAACTCCTTTCCCTTCCCTTCCCCACAACAGACACCCTGTGAGGTAGGTGGGGCTGAGAGAGCTCTTGACAGAAACTGCTCTTTTTCAAGAACGGCTCTTGCCAGAACTATGGCTTGCCCAAGGTCATCCAGCCAGGTGCGATTGGAGGAGTGGGGAATCGAACCCGGTTCTCCCAGATTAGAGTCCGCGCACTTAACCACGACACCAAGTTTGTACAGGACGCCTTCGAGGCCAGGAGGCCTAGGCAGTGGGCCGCGTGAACAAAATGCTCACCCTCTCATGCTCCAGAACTTTTGTGACGTGGAGGGTGTTCACGACAGATGCTAGCAGATTGCTCGGCAACCTAGCCCAAGTAGAAGGGGTTCACCAAAAGGCTTGAAACCCTTGCTTTTAGAAGTTAAGGCTGCCAAGTCCAGGTTGAAAAATTCCTGGAGATTTTTTGTGGGATGGAGGCTGTGGGGGGTGAGGTTTGAGGAGGGGGGGGGAAGGGAAGAAACCTCAGCAGGGTACAGTGCCACAGAGTCCACCTTTCAAAGCAGCCATTTTCTCCAGAGAACCTGTCTGGGGATCAGTTGTAATTCCAGGGGATCTCCAGGCCACACCTGGAGGTTAGCAACCCTATTAGAAGAACAGATGGTATCATCCAAAGCCACATTTTTTTAAAAAAAAAAGCTCTCAGAACAGCCAATATTGTTTGTGTCACTGGCTTGAAGAGAAAAAAATGTCTTTCTAAGACTGAAGATTTTAGAGTTGGAATGTCCGCGCACTTAACCACGACACCAAGTTTGTACAGGACGCCTTCGAGGCCAGGAGGCCTAGGCAGTGGGCCGCGTGAACAAAATGCTCACCCTCTCATGCTCCAGAACTTTTGTGACGTGGAGGGTGTTCACGACAGATGCTAGCAGATTGCTCGGCAACCTAGCCCAAGTAGAAGGGGTTCACCAAAAGGCTTGAAACCCTTGCTTTTAGAAGTTAAGGCTGCCAAGTCCAGGTTGAAAAATTCCTGGAGATTTTTTGTGGGATGGAGGCTGTGGAGGGTGAGGTTTGAGGAGGGGGGGGGAAGGGAAGAAACCTCAGCAGGGTACAGTGCCACAGAGTCCACCTTTCAAAGCAGCCATTTTCTCCAGAGAACCTGTCTGGGGATCAGTTGTAATTCCAGGGGATCTCCAGGCCACACCTGGAGGTTAGCAACCCTATTAGAAGAACAGATGGTATCATCCAAAGCCACATTTTTTTAAAAAAAAAAGCTCTCAGAACAGCCAATATTGTTTGTGTCACTGGCTTGAAGAGAAAAAAATGTCTTTCTAAGACTGAAGATTTTAGAGTTGGAAGAACCTGGAAAGAAAGGTGGCGAGGGGCACACATCTCTTTTTTCTTTTTTTTCATGTCAAAACTTTTATTTTGGATATAACAACACCTTCAACATTACATTACATTTCTTTTGTCACATATCCCTTTCTATTAACTCCCCCCTCCCCTTTGGTGGCTTTCCGGAATGCTCTTCCCCCCTTCCCCCCCCCTTTCCCATTTATATTTCTATTTTCCCTTTCCCCTTATCCTCTTAAATTTCTAGGTAACAGTATCTTAATCTAAACATTCCAAACCTTTATATATTTCAGCCCTTAATGGAAGGCTCTTTTTATCATATGTGGTGGACTTGTGATAAAGCTATGGCCTTTTGGACAGAAGTTCATGATGAAATGCAGAAAATTTTGAAATGTACTTTTAAGAAAGAACCTGAGATATTACTTCTAGGGCTTAAGATGGAAGAAGTAAATGTAACAAAAAAGACACTGTTGTGGTACCTGATTAGTACTGCCAGAATGACTTATGCACATCTTGGAAGCAGGATAGAATACCAGAAAAATGGGAATGGATACAGAACGTGATACACATGGCTGAAATGGACAAATTAGCAAGGGACACATATCTCTTGAATCACGCACACTAGAAATGGTTTGGGTTGACAGAGCTAAGAAAGGAGGCCCCAGAATTGCTCTGGCCTGGTTTGTTCAGCCCTTACCGATCCGTAGCAAGTCTCTGTGCCATTCTGGGGCAGGCATTCTGCGTGGCACGAAAGGCAACGGGTGCCGTTGACATGTTCCCGGACATCTCTGCAAGGGAAAGCATTGCCAATTAGTCCAAAGTTTGGGAAGTCACTCGGTTTCTACGATTTTTTTTGTTTTGTTTTTAAATGGCAATGAGGTTAACCAAGACGGGGTGATTATGTGGTATCTCCCTGCATCCTGAACAGCCCCATGAGAACACAAAATCCACTAAGCAGCACCAAAACCAACAACCCAGAAATACTGGGCTTTTCTGTAATACCGGGGGCGGGAATCTGTTCCGCACACATTTTGCTCCCTCTACTGGTCAATTCAATAATACACCAGTTTATGTCTGGCATAAAAACCTCTGCAATACTGGGGGCGGGGATCTGTTCTGCACACGTTTTGCTCCCTCTAGTGGTCAGTTCAATAATACACCAGTTTATGTCTGGCATAAAAACCTCAGGGAGATACACCGGACATAAACCAACGAAATATCAATGACCACTAGAGGAAGCAAAACACATACAGAGCAAAAAAAAAACAACACACCCCAAAGCAAGGAAAATGAGAATGCAGAAAAGCCTGTTAATTGCCATTTTTAAAAATCTAGCAAGTCTGCGGGCCTTCATAAAAGTGAACCGTCTCCTTTTCACACGGCATCCTCAGAGTCATCCTCGAGGGTTGCATAACTAGTGTTCCAGCCAGGCAGGACCCCAGTCCCACCGACACCCTTCTCACATACCCGTCCAGAATATTGCAGCTCTCGACACACTCCTCTCCGCGCAGAAACCCACTGCAAGATACACACTGAGTCGCCGCAGGTCCCCAGCAGTGGCCCTTGGAGCAGAGGGAGAAGCACGTTTGACCGTCGAGCTCTGCAGAAAGGAGATATGAGACAGAACCTGTGGTCTGGTGGCTAGAGTGTTGGACTACGATCTGGGAGACCCACGTTCGAATCCCCACTTCTGCCATGGAAGGTCATTGCATGACCTTGGAGGAGAATGATGCAGGCAGCTTTGGGTCCCCATTGGGGAGAAAGGTAAAGGTAAAGGTTTTCCTTGCTCGAAAGCCAGTCGAGTCCGACTCTAGGGTTGCGGTGCTCATCTCTGTTTCAAAGCCGAAGAGACAGCACTGTCCGAAGACGTTTCCGTGGTCATGGGGCCGGCATGACTAAGCACCAAGGCGCACGGAACGCTGTTCCCTTCCCACCAAAGTGGTACCTATTTATCTACTTGCCATTTCTTGCTTTCGAACTGCTAGGTTGGCAGGAGCTGGAAGCTCACTCCGTCATGCGGCAACTCGGGTCTCGAACTGCTGAAATACCGACCTTCCACAGCCTGCAGTTCAGCGTCTTAACCACTTGAGCCACCGCAGAGACAGGCAAGGCATAAATGAATTAAATAAATTAAAATCAATAAATATAATTCCATTGCCTTTCCATCAACAATGGCAGGAGGTCTGCCACGGGTGTGAAAGAGGCAGACGGGAGTGGGGTAAGGGGTCTCATGTCTCAAGCAGAGGCCTCTCACTGTTAACACACACACGACAATTCTCATACGCTGGCAATTTTGCTCCTGCCCCACCCAAAACGCCAAGGTCGGAATGGTTTCCCCAGGTCTGAGAAAACAGCAGCAGGCCACACCTGGAGAACTGTACACAGTTCTGTAGGCCTCCCTTCCGAAAGGATGTGGTCAGAACAGAGCGACGAGGATGATCGGAGGCCTGGAGACCAAGCCCTAAGAGGAAACACTGAGAGACTTGGGAGGTGGGGGCGGGGAGAGAAGTAGTGGCAGCTGCAAGATGGGATTAGAGAAACATCTGGAGCAGAGGTCCATCAGTGGCCATTACCCACAAGGTCTAGATGGAACACTCTGTCTGGGGCAGGGATGCTCTGCATTCGGTGTTTGGGAGGGGCAACAGTGGGAGGGCTTCTGGAGTTCTGGCCCCACTGCTGGACCTCCTGATGGCCCCTAGGTTTGGGCCACTGTGTGACACAGAGTGTTGGACTGGATGGGCCACTGGCCTGATCCAACATGGCTTCTCTTATGTTCTTATGTCTGGGGAAGTGATGCTCTGTTTGGTGCTTGGGGGGGGGCAACAGTGGGAGGGCTCCTAGTGTCCTGGCCCCACTGCTGGACCTCCTGATGGCCCCTAGGTTTGGGCCACTGTGTGACACAGAGTGTTGGACTGGATGGCCTAATCCAACATGGCTTCTCTTATGACAGGATGGCTCTCTTGGAAGGATTTGAAAGGTAGTCACTTAGAGGAGGGCAGGGCGCGGTTCCTGTTGGCAGCGGAGGACAGGACTCACAATAATTGATTTAAATTATGGGGGGAAAAGGTACCAACTGGATCTTAGGAAACACTTCTTTACAGTCAGAGTTGTACCACAGTGGAATGGGCTGCCCAGGGAGGTGGTTGAGCTCCCCCTCCCTGGCACTCTTGAAGCAGCGTCTGGACAAACACTCGTCAGAGATGCTGTAGGCTGATCCGGCATTGAGCCAGGGGGTCAGACTAGATGGCCTGGATGCCCCCTCCCAACTCTGTGATTCCACAGCCGACCCCTGCCCTGCCTTACCACACTGCTCCGTGGGCTTGTTGTCGTTGTGGAAGAGCATCTGTCGGGGGTTCCTGAAAATGTCCTCCCAAGGCACGTTCTGGATGAAGCAGAGGTTGGGGTTGTGGTGGACGAGGACCATGCCGCTGCTGATCTCGTGCAGGGAACGCAGGCCCAGCGAGGAGATGGGGAGGTTCTGCAAAGTCAGAGAGTACGCCCCGCTGGCAAAAGGGGGAAAAAACACACAAGACTCCTTTGTCACAAAGGATATGGTCCCGGTGCCCCCCAAAAAAGAGCCCATCACCGTCCCTCCAGACTTATTCGCTAAATATTTAGGCCTCATTTCTTGGTATGTACATTGGATGATATCACACTTTAGATCCAGGAATCCCCAACGCGTGCCCAGGGGCGCCATGGTACCTGCCGCCAGGGATCATTTCCTGCAGGAGCGCACAGGAGCGGAGCTCCGGCAGTAAAGACCCCGGGGGGCAGGCACATGCAACAAACCCCACCCCCTGCTCCCAACAGCCCTCAGTCAGAGCAAGAAGCAGCCAGGTAAGCTGCAGACTTCCCCCCTGGTCCCCCGGTCCAAAACAGTCCAGTGGCACCTTTAAGACCAAGTTTTATTCAGGTACAAGCTCTCCCTCCTCTGCAAGGACAGATCTGCACATTCCCCCCCCCAATAGCTAGCAATCCAAAACAGTCCAGTGAGCCTGAGTGTTGGGTGTCGCCTTCTGACACACTTCCGGTGATGTCAGGGGGTGTGGCATATGCTAATGAGTTATGCGAATGAGTTATGCTAGTGAGCGCCTGCACCTCTTTTTCTGCGAAATGACCCCTGCCTGCCGCCACCTTTCTTGGTGCCCGCCAAGTGTTTTCAGAAAGTGGGTGTGGCCAGGTGGGCTTCTGAGAACTGATTGGCTGCAAAGATTAAAATGACACTTCAGCAACAGTGGCCACTACTCCGTTGGCTTTATTCTCTCTCTCAGACTCTTCTTTCCTAGTGTGTTTTTAAAATTTGCCCCTCTTATCCCCTGCACTTGGGCGTCCCAGGTGCCATCCAGATTGTGCTTGCAGGCTCGAAGAGGTTGGGGACTCCCGCTTTAGATCCTTTTTTTCCTTTCACGAAAAGGGTGGAGGTGAACCAGCGGCCATTTTCATCATTGCCACAACCCGGATCCCATCCAAGGAGGTCCCTGTGGCAATGGCTGTAGGGGTCATTTCCTGCAGGAGCGCACAGGAGCGGAGCTCCGGCAGTAAAGAGCCTAGGGGACGGGCACATACAACAAGCCCCACCCCCTGCTCCCAGCAGCCCTCAGTCAGAGCAAGAAGCAGCCAGGTAAGCTGCAGAGCTCACCCCCCCCTCCGGCCCAAAACAGTCCAGTGACACCTTTAAGACCAGGTTTTATTCAGGTAGAAGCTCTCCCTCCTCTGCGAGGACAGATCTGCACATTCCCCCCCCCCCCAATAGCTAGCAATCCAAAGCAGTCCAGTGGAGCCTGAGCGGTGGGTGTTGCCTTCTGACACACTTCCGGTGATGTCATGGATGTGGCACATGCAAATGAGTCATGCAAATGAGTTATGCTAATGAGTTATGCTAATAAGCTCCCGCACCTCTTCTTCTACGAAATTACCCCTGGCTGTACCAATTGTACCAGTTTTCTCTTAATGCCTGGCTGGCTGTAAACTTGATTTCTTTTTTCCCATAAGCGCTCCCATGGATCCATAAATTGGATCTCTAAAATTCTGCATCCATTTGGATCATACATTTCTAAACTGGAGTAGTAACTTGTATATCCATCGTTTTTGTTGTTTTGTAATCAACTGCTCGAACTCAGTCGTAGAGCTACACCTTCCATGTCAATGATCTTCTTTAGTCTTGAAACTGATTGATAATTCAGCAGCCATTTAATAGTTTATTCCTTCGTCTTTAATATCTTGCCAAGACTTGATTTTCCCCAAATGTTAAAAAGTCATTTTTGTTTCTTGTGTATGTATGATAAACTTCTACCGGGAACATAAGCGGAAAGTTTGAAGGGCTCAGTAAATTCCAGCATGTAAACCATATTCCCTGATTGTATGGCTTTATTCTTGTGCTATAATAGTTTTGATTGATTTCTTAATACATAAATAACTGTGTACGCCTTTCTTCCTGCCGGTTCAAGTTTTACTGTTCTTTGTCTGGGGTTTTTAATCCAATCCATAATCCAGACCAGGCCTGCCTCTTGATAATATAATTTTATATTTGGAACTGTTAATTCTCCTCTCTTTTTCTCGTCTGGCAGTATTTTAAAGCTTAACTCTTCTTTACCTTTCCAAATTTCCAAATTACCCTTCCAAAACCAGGATAAAACACATCCTATCCACATTTGTTAATATAAAACAAAAACCCATTTCTGAACCCAAATCCTAAAACCAAGAAAATCAGAAAGTCCTAAATCACTTTTGTACAGCACAATCCCGTGCATATCCACTCCGCTCTAAGCCCACCGATCACGCTGGAAGTGACTGTACGACAACGGAAGATTTTATGTCTGCCAAACTGCTGGGAGAAAGCTTACTTGTAGAGTGCTCGTCCCCGGATCACCTGGAGGTTCTGGAAGGGGCTTAAATCTGGGAGGGTTTCTGGCCAGTATTCAATGAATAAGAAACCTGTGGACAGAAACACAAAAGCTGTCTGATTCAGAAACACAATCCCTAATGTATGAAGCAGGTTACCCCCTGTAATGTTACGGCAGTCCCTTCACCTGGGAGTGGGGTTCTTCTTATGTACCTGTCAGATCCTTCAGGTGTTTAAAGGCTTGAAGTTGTTCAGGGGCCAGAGGTGGGGTATTTGTGGAAGGATCCCTGGATGGAAAGGAGGGGGGGGAAGCAATGGTGAAAAATGAACGGTGCATACACATAAGCTTTCCTGCTACGCCTCTACCACACCTCCCCTTACTGTGGCTGCGGTCACACGGAGCATTAGCCACGCTACAGAGACAGAAGATAGGCGGATTTTCCGGGCGCGATCACAGCGCCACATCTGGGAAGCGTAGAGCTCCTGTGGCGAACCCGAGGCTTCCCGCCGAAGATGCGGGGTAAAAAAACTAGTACCTCCGAGGTACTAGTTTCCGGAAACAGCGGGGCAAGGGCAGGCGCCTGATTGCATTTCCGGTGGTAGGTCGTGGCATCTGGCGCCCGCCCTTGTCCTGTCGCAAAAAGGTTGTGTTTTTTCAAGTCTCCACAGGATGCGCACAAGCACCCAACGGCGCATGCGCACACTTCGTTTAAAAACACAGCCCCCGCCTCTTTTCCATACCCCCCCACACACTCCTGGCTCGGC